ACTTTGAAAAAAATAAGACCATGTCTTTATTGCACTCGCTGTACTGATTGCATTATGAGACACGTACCAGTCTACAACTTAAAATTGATGTCTATATAATACTATCGTGCTAACAGCTCAACAATAATATACCAGTAACGAAACAAATTTTCTTTAAATGTTGCTTATTGTCTTACATCAATAGAGGAAACCAGTAACAGTGGCATCATTTGATGAGGTCAGACAGTTTCTGTGGGCATCCCCTGACTGGAAAAGGTTAAAAGATCAGCATGAGTGTCTCCGTTCAGTTGGGGCGAGTTACAACACGACTACAACAAGCAAGAAAATCCATGTGAGGATTCACCCAGTGTCACAGCCTGCATTATAATGACATTTCAATAAGGTATTGGTAAGTCTGACATACCTGTGACTGTTTCATTCAAATTAATCTGTTTGGTGTTATTACACTGAAGTGTCTTTGTACATTATTGATGGCTTTATATCTCAATCATGCATTTAAAGTTCAATTTTAACAACGCTGTGAGCAAATCCTGTAAAATAACATAAATGTGTTTTATCCCTTACTAGTGTTCATATTCACTTAAGGAACTAAAGGGAAGATCATATGAAACTCTACAGAGGTTTCACATTTCACCCTTGGTGCCTACTTTGACACCGGGCTTTTTAAATACTTATATTTCCTGATTATTCTGACTGTTTATATTGCAATTATTTGTGCAAATTTATTTCTCATTGTTGTCATCTGTCTGAACAGAAGCTTCACATGAACCCATGTTACCTGTTCCTGTGCAGCCTGTTTTAAATGAACTGTATGGTAGTACAGGGTTGTTTCCATTCCTGCTGGTTCAGATCCTCTCTGACATTCACACTGTTTCTGTGCCTTTTTGTTTCCTGCAGATTTTCTGTTTGTACTCTTATGGAGGTGTAGAGTTTTACCTTAGCCATCATGTCTTATGACAGATACCTGGCTATCTGTTATCCTCTACAATATAACACACGTATGACATCAAATAAGGTCACCATGCTTACTTCTCTAAATATGGTTCTACCCTTTTTTAGCAATATTTTCATAGTGTATTGTCTGGCTGCTTCTTTACAGTTTGTGTGGGAACAATATTAACAAAGTGTACTGTGACAATTATTAATTATTGTCAAAAATGGCCTGCTCTAACACAACTGTCAATAACGTCTTTGGGCTTGTTCACAATGTTTACAGTAATTTTTAGTCATATAATGTTGATTCTTTACACTTACATGAGGATTCTCAAAGTGTGTTTTCTGGCTCTAAACAGACCAGACAAGAAAGCTGTCAGTACCTGCACACCTCACCTTGCTTCTCTGCTCAACTTTCTCCTTCGGCTGTTTCTTTGAAATAGTTGCAGAGCAGGTTTAATTTGAACAAGTTTACCCAATATATTACGCATTGTTTTGTCATTATATTGGCTTACATGCCAGCCACTCGTCAACCCTTTACTGTATGGACTGAAAATGTCCAAAATACGCATTGTATATAAAAGTCTGCTCTTTAGGAAAAAACTGTGATGGCAAATGTTATATGACAACTAACAAATTTGCTTATCTTGAATAAAAAGTAATGCAAATATTAAATGACATACCTTTTGGCAATACACTTGTCAACTATAATGATAAAATGTGAAAACTGTAGTAGACGTTTTTAAATGAAATATACATTTTAGTGTAGACTTTGTTACGAGCCAGGACAGAGGGGCTGGTATTATTTTCACCTTGTGCGTCTGTGTGTTCTGGGCCAAATGCCCTTAGCAAGGAGTCCAAGTCCCAGCCAGACCGTTTCTGCATGTCATTCCCCCACTCCCTCTCTCTGCATTTCCTGTCTGTCTCCAACTGCTGCGAATAATTAAAGAAACCAAAAACATAACTTAATATATAAATAATATACATTTTCATCTACCATAATAATATAACTTGGCAGTCGACAAATTAAGAATATTTCCCTTTGGCTTGAATGGGAAAGAGGTCTCAGATTTTGGAACCCACTGTATTTTCAACAGAAGCTGAAAGAATGACAAATACAAATTTTGGCAGTTAAGAACAGACAAAAGAAATTCCTGGACTGGGACATAAATACTTCTTTACCAGAAAGATTTTTTAGCAATTCCAAAGTTATCATCCTTACCAACCACTTCAATAGAATTCTGTAAAAAAAAATCTAAGCAAAGAATATAAAGATTTTTGTGGAATAATACCCCTGTTAAATTTAAGAGCATAGTTATACAGTGAAAGAAGAATGTATGTAACTTTTAAAACTTGAAAGAAGATCATGATTTTCGAGTATTTATCAAAAGTTCCGATGTGTCAATCATACTAAAACAATTTAATACCTACACGGTTTTCCCAACAAAATGACCCACCACAGCTTTGACCCTGCATGTAGCTCAAAGGTTACAATGATGCTAGTTTGTATTTTTTTTGACAGTAAAATCTCGTTCAAAAAGACCCAAACCAACAATCAGAGGGTTTACTGTAGTAACCTGGATACTGTAAATACACATATGGAACGAGATGAACAGTGACGTTACTTGAGTACTGATGTAAGTCACTGAGGCGGCGTGTGGCACTGCTTCCTCTGCTGGTTTTTTTTTTCTACTGCATCTTCTTCTTTTTTTTTCAAAATTTTTTTGAGCGTTTGTGTATCAGAGCAGACTTGGTGCAGTGAGAGAGAGGACGACAGGCAGACACAGATTTTTACTCAGAGCACAAAGGTGCCTGTATTATATCAGATAGTCAAATGTTCATTGGTGGAAATCCAACTTATTTATGTAGACTAGGCTACTTTGTGTTAGTCTCAGTCTGAGGATGAATCATTTCAAATACCAGGGTACATTGGCTCAGTAAGGGTTGGAGTTTATTCAATCAGAAACTAGTTCAATTAAACTGTCCAACCACATCGCAAATGTGTTTATAGTTTTTCCAAATGGCCACACTCAAAGCGAAAGTGAAAAAGGAGAGGAGAGAATCCTGACACATTTTCAGACAGTCTCTACCTCAGTTGTTCAGATGAAAATGTACAAACAGTTCGTCAAGAATTTATAAAAGAAGAGTTCAGACCACAGCTCCTGTTACACCTCCATAGAGCTGACAATCACTGAGTGGAGAGAGAGACATTTGCCCCAATCAGAGATGTCAAAACGGTGGAGGGGGGGTAATAAAAGTATACTGGCCACTTAATAATATCTCCTTTCATCCAGCTGCTCTGCTGCTACTCTGCCTGTCTGCAGTCATTCATCATACACACGCATACTTGTAAAAACCTGATTATAAGCAGCACCTGTATAAATAGCAGAGAAATCAGATTTCACTAATCACTAAAAAACTTTCTTATTAATGTGACATGTCAATTTGGAAAAAGCCAATCATAACCTGGTTAGTCATGACTTTCCATTTCTCAATACCTCTGATTTCACCACTCTCCTGGTTTCTACTGAAGACAGAAAATAGCTCAAAGATGGCTTTAAAGGTTGTCCTGGAGGTGGTGGGTCATTTTGACATCATTTGTAATTATAAGTCAATTTATTTATCCAGAAAAAAAAAAAATTGCTATTTTATCTGAGCTCAGGAATCAGCAACAAGCAGTGTGATTATGAGGTGTGACAATGAACGTCAGTCTGCTGCTTCGGGCGTCCCTTCACTTGAAAAGTTTTAAAAGAAGCAGAAGCCGAGTGCCGTCTTTAGTTAGGAGGGATTAACCGTGTCAGTGCAACTGGACAATGAGATGAATGTAGGATTCACATAATGTCATAAACTGTGTCTTGTTTGGTATGTATCTTTGTATTATACAGATGTTTTTTTTTATTCAAAAGTTTATGTATGGGCAATTATTTGTTTGCATTATGATAAATGATTCTGTTTGCTGATACTGTCATGAATGCTGTTTATATGATTAATGTTTTAGCTTCACTTTTAGTTTAAAGTAAAGTGTAAAACTGCACTATACAAACCTGTAATAAAATGTTACACAATAATTAAGATCAGTTTGTGAATCCACTGAATAATGTTATATCATTACTCAGTGAACCAAATCAAAGGTCATGGATAAACTCCACTCGGGTTTCTTATTTTAACTTGTTGCGTACTTTGACACAGGGTTTTTGAAGTATTTAGTTTTCATGGCTCTTATGTCTTTATAACATGATCATTGTATTTGTGACCAATCTTTTTCTCATTGTGGTTATCTGTCTGAACAGAAGCTTACATGAACCCATGTACCTGTTCCTTGTGCAGCCTGTTTGTAAATGAAACTGTATGGTAGTACAGGGTTTTTTCCATTCCTGCGGTTCAGATCCTCTCTGACATTCACACTGTTTCTGTGCCCTTTATTGTCCTTCGCAGACTTGTAATTATGTGTTCATTTTCTATGGAAGTGTGGAATTTTTCTACCTTAGTGTCATGTCTTATGACAGGTATCTTCTATCTGTTATCCACTACAATATAACACATGTAATGACATCCACATTAGTTGTAACCCTTATGCCATTTGCATGGTTATACAGTGTAGTTGCAACTGTTGTCATGAATATCTCTGAGTGCTCCTTTACAGCTGTGTGAGAACACGATTCACAAAGTTTACTGCTGTGACAACTACTCTGTTTTGTCAAAACTTCTTGCTCTGACACGACTGTCAACAACATCTATGGACTTGCTCACTATTTACCATAATACGAGATATAACATACTTAGTGAGTGATGTCACAATATATTCTACATTACCTCTTAATGAGCGATCTCTTGCCTTGGTGTTCTCGCAATGAATCCTAAAGTGAGCGATGCGCAGTTATACTCCTTTAAAAAGTGAGAGCCCCCCACCCCCCAGAGAAAATCAAAAACCCCGTCCATGGCTTTAACGTAAAGTTTTATAAAACCTGGGACATGTCAGGTTAATAGCACACAGTTTGTCTAATATGTCTTGAAGGTGTTTTTTTTCAATTTGTTTATTTATTTAATTACTTCTTTTTTAGTTATATTGTTGACATCAGGTTTTTGTCTAAATTCTTTTCATTGCTACTTTTGCCAATGCTTAGACTTCCCCATCTTACAGGATGTTCTCCTTTACCTCACTTTCTGAGTCATGTGGGTGAGGGGTTTATGTGTGCGTTTTATTCCATAAATAAATCTTACTTGAAAAAAATAAGACCATGTCTTTATTGCACTGCTGTACTGATTGCATTATGAGACACGTACCAGTCTACAACTTAAAATTGATGTCTATATAATACTATCGTGCTAACAGCTCAACAATAATATACCAGTAACGAAACAAATTTTCTTTAAATGTTGCTTATTGTCTTACATCAATAGAGGAAACCAGTAACAGTGCATCATTTGATGAGGTCAGACAGTTTCTGTGGGCATCCCCTGACTGGAAAAGGTTAAAAGATCAGCATGAGTGTCTCCGTTCAGTTGGGGCGAGTTACAACACGACTACAACAAGCAAGAAAATCCATGTGAGGATTCACCCAGTGTCACAGCCTGCATTATAATGACTTTCAATAAGGTATTGGTAAGTCTGACATACCTGTGACTGTTTTCATTCAAATTAATCTGTTTGGTGTTATTACACTGAAGTGTCTTTGTACATTATTGATGCTTTATATCTCAATCATGCATTTAAAGTTCAATTTTAACAACGCTGTGAGCAAATCCTGTAAAATAACATAATGTGTTTATCCCCTTACTAGTGTTCATATTCACTTAAGGAACTAAAGGGAAGATCATGATGAACTCTACAGAGGTTTCACATTTCACCCTTGGTGCCTACTTTGACACCGGGCTTTTTAAATACTTATATTTCCTGATTATTCTGACTGTTTATATTGCAATTATTTGTGCAAATTTATTTCTCATTGTTGTCATCTGTCTGAACAGAAGCTTACATGAACCCATGTACCTGTTACTGTGCAGCCTGTTTGTAAATGAACTGTATGGTAGTACAGGGTTGTTTCCATTCCTGCTGGTTCAGATCCTCTCTGACATTCACACTGTTTCTGTGCCTTTTTGTTTCCTGCAGATTTTCTGTTTGTACTCTTATGGAGGTGTAGAGTTTTTTACCTTAGCCATCATGTCTTATGACAGATACCTGGCTATCTGTTATCCTCTACAATATAACACACGTATGACATCAAATAAGGTCACCATGCTTACTTCTCTAATATGGTTCTACCCTTTTCTTAGCAATATTTTCATAGTGTATTGTCTGACTGCTTCTTTACAGTTGTGTGGGAACAATATTAACAAAGTGTACTGTGACAATTATTATATTGTCAAACTGGCCTGCTCTAACACAACTGTCAATAACGTCTTTGGGCTTGTTCACATGTTTACAGTAATTTTTAGTCTTATAATGTTGATTCTTTACACTTACATGAGGATTCTCAAAGTGTGTTTTTCTGGCTCTAAACAGACCAGACAGAAAGCTGTCAGTACCTGCACACCTCACCTTGCTTCTCTGCTCAACTTCTCCTTCGGCTGTTTCTTTGAAATAGTGCAGAGCAGGTTTAATTTGAACAGTTTACCCAATATATTACGCATTGTTTTGTCATTATATTGGCTTACATGCCAGCCACTCGTCAACCCTTTACTGTATGGACTGAAAATGTCCAAAATACGCATTGTATATAAAAGTCTGCTCTTTAGGAAAAAAATGTGATGGCAAATGTTATATGACAACTAACAAATTTGCTTATCTTGAATAAAAAGTAATGCAAATATTAAATGACATACCTTTTGGCAATACACTTGTCAACTATAATGATAAAATGTGATTAACTGTAGTAGACGTTTTTAAATGAAATATACATTTTAGTGTAGACTTTGTTACGAGCCAGGACAGAGGGGCTGGTATTATTTTCACCTTGTGCGTCTGTGTGTCTGGGCTCAAATGCCCTTAGCAAGGAGTCCAAGTCCCAGCCAGACCGTTTCCTGCATGTCATTCCCCCACTCCCTCTCTCTGCATTTCCTGTCTGTCTCCACTGCTGCGAATAATTAAAGAAACCAAAAACATAACTTAATATATAAACTATATACATTTTCATCTACCAAATAATCAGCATATCACTTGGCCAGTCGACAAATTAAGAATATTTCCCTTTGGCTTGAATGGGAAAGAGGTCTCAGATTTTGGAACCCACTGTATTTTCAACAGAAGCTGAAAGAATGACAAATACAAATTTTGGCAGTTAAGAACAGACAAAAGAATTCCTGGACTGGGACATAAATACTTCTTTACCAGAAAGATTTTTTAGCAATTCCAAAGTTATCATCCTTACCAACCACTTCAATAGAATTCTGTAAAAAAAAATCTAAGCAAAGAATATAAAGATTTTTGTGGAATAATACCCCTGTTAAATTTAAGAGCATAGTTATACAGTGAAAGAAGAATGTATGTAACTTTAAAACTTGAAAGAAGATCATGATTTTCGAGTATTTATCAAAAGTTCCGATGTGTCAATCATACTAAAACAATTTAATACCTACACGGTTTCCCAACAAAATGACCCACCACAGCTTTGACCCTGCATGTAGCTCAAAGGTTACAATGATGCTAGTTTGTATTTTTTTTGACAGTAAATCTCGTCAAAAAGACCCAAACCAACAATCAGAGGGTTTACTGTAGTAACCTGGATACTGTAAATACACATATGGAAGCATGATTGAGTGACGTTACTTGTAGTACTGATGTAAGTCACTGAGGCGCTGTGGCACTGCTTCCTCTGCTGGTTTTTTTTTTCTACTGCATCTTCTTCTTTTTTTTTCAAAATTTTTTGAGCGTTTGTATCAGAGCAGACTTGGTGCAGTGAGAGGAGGACGACAGGCAGACACAGATTTTACTCAGAGCACAAAGGTGCCTGTATTATACAGATAGTCAAATGTTCATTGGTGGAAATCAACTTATTTATGTAGACTAGGCTACTTTGTGTTAGTCTCAGTCTGAGGATGAATCATTTCAAATACCAGGGTGCATTGCTCAGTAAGGGTTGGAGTTTATTCAATCAGAACTAGTTCATAAACTGTCCAACCACATCGCAAATGTGTTTATAGTTTTTCCAAATGGCCACACTCAAAGGCAAAGTGAAAAAGGAGAGGAGAGAATCCTGACACATTTTCAGACAGTCTCTACCTCAGTTGTTCAGATGAAAAGTGACAAACACGTTCGTCAAGAATTTTAAAAAGAGTTCAGACCACAGCTCCTGTTACACCTCCATAGAGCTGACCAATCACTGAGTGGAGAGAGAGACATTTGCCCCCAATATGATGTCAAAACGGTGGAGGGGGGGGGGTAATAAAAGTATACTGGCCACTTAATAATATCTCCTTTCATCCAGCTGCTCTGCTGCTACTCTGCCTGTCTGCAGTCATTCATCATACACACGCATACTTGTAAAAACCTGATTATAAGCAGCACCTGTATAAATAGCAGAGAAATCAGATTTCACTAATCACTAAAAAACTTTCTTATTAATGTGACATGTCAATTTGGAAAAAGCCAATCGTAACCTGGTTAGTCATGACTTTCCATTTCTCAATACCCTCTGATTTCACCACTCTCCTGGTTTCTACTGAAGACAGAAATAGCTCAAAGATGGCTTTAAGGTTGTCCTGGAGGTGGTGGGTCATTTTGACATCATTTGTAATTATAAGTCAATTTATTTATCCAGAAAAAAAAAAAATTGCTATTTTATCTGAGCTCAGGAATCAGCAACAAGCAGTGTGATTATGAGGTGTGACAATGACGTCAGTCTGCTGCTTCGGGCGTCCCTTCACTTGAAAAGTTTAAAAGAAGCAGAAGCCGAGTGCCGTCTTAGTTAGGAGGGATTAACCGTGTCAGTGCAACTGGACAAGAGATGAATGTTAGGATTCACATAATGTCATAAACTGTGTCTTGTTTGGTTGTATCTTTGTATTATACAGATGTTTTTTTTTATTCAAAAGTTTATGTATGGGCAATTATTTGTTTGCATTATGATAAATGATTCTGTTTGCTGATACTGTCATGAATGCTGTTTATATGATTAATGTTTTAGCTTCACTTTAGTTTAAAGTAAAGTGTAAACTGCACCTATACAAACCTGTAATAAAATGTTACACAATAATTAAGATCAGTTTGTGAATCCACTGAATAATGTTATCATTACTCAGTGAACCAAATCAAAGGTCATGATAAACTCCACTCGGGTTTCTTATTTTGAACTTGTTGCGTACTTTGACACAGGGTTTTTGAAGTATTTAGTTTTCATGGCTCTTATGTCTTTATACATGATCATTGTTTGTGCCAATCTTTTTCTCATTGTGGTTATCTGTCTGAACAGAAGCTTACATGAACCCATGTACCTGTTTCTGTGCAGCCTGTTTGTAAATGAACTGTATGGTAGTACAGGGTTGTTTCCATTCCTGCTGGTTCAGATCCTCTCTGACATTCACACTGTTTCTGTGCCTTTTTGTTTCCTGCAGATTTATTGTGTTCATTTCTATGGAAGTGTGGAATTTTTCACCTTAGGTGTCATGTCTTATGACAGGTATCTTGCTATCTGTTATCCACTACAATATAACACATGTATGACATCCACTAAGGTTGTAACCCTTACTGCATTTGCATGGTTATACAGTGTAGTTGCAACTGTTGTCATGATATCTCTGAGTGCTCCTTTACAGCTGTGTGAGAACACGATTCACAAAGTTTACTGTGACAACTACTCTGTTGTCAAACTGTCTTGCTCTGACACGACTGTCAACAACATCTATGGACTTGTTTACATATTTACCATAATAGTTGCTCTTATGATTCTAATTCTTTACACTTACATGAGGATTCTCAAAGTGTGTTTTTCTGGCTCTAAACAGACCAGACAGAAAGCTGTCAGCACCTGCACACCTCACCTTGCTTCTCTCCTGAACTTCTCTTTTGGTGCTTTCTTTGAAATAGTGCAGAGCAGGTTTGATATGAGTAATGTACCCATTGTGTTGCGTATTTTTTTATCACTATACTGGCTCACGTGCCAGCCGCTCTTCAACCCTTTAATATATGGGCTAAATGTATCAAAAATCCGCATCATATGCAAAAATCTTACTTTTGGTAAAAAAATGTAGCACACTTAGTGTATGTCCTCTATCATCTCACAATTTGTTTATTTAGAACAAGAAAGAAACATACAAAGGAAGCCCCTGTCAGTAGTAGTGTTAACAGTGATAAAGAACATGTAGCGTGTATTAAATGTTTCCTAAATGATGTCACATTAAACATAAACAACATTTCTCTGTTAAGCCATTCAGTAGTATAGTCAGTCTTTTGTCTGAACTGTTTAGTTTGTTCATCAGTTTTGTCAGAACAGTAGAGGTAAAAAGATTATTACTTCAGGCTGCAACCTTTCACTCACTGCTATAATCTCTTTCTGACCATGGGTGTGTAATTGTGTCAGTACTTTTGTGTGTACACGTATGTTTTTGTTAGCCATTTTACTTTCATTTTGTTTACATACAAATGAACAATCAATCAGTCTTTATACTTACTCTAGAAAATATACTGACGTCTTACACAGTCACCAAAACATGCAGTAGTAATCTTACAGTACAGTTGTTTAATTACAATTATTTCTCAATTCAGAACAGATGTTGCATGTAAGATCATATGATCATCTTGACTGTGGAGCACTTCTGGCAAATAATTCAATAAAACACTTGATGATTTACACAGGTGCAGGTTGGGATTACAGGCTGTGCCTGTAGTGAAGGGGAATCCCTATGGGCAGCCAAACTGATCACACAACATGCCTATTTTCTTAATGTAGTGAATATGTAAACTGTATCTACAAATATTGATGAAAGGTCCTAGTTTCACTGTGAGATTTCTGGTTTTATGGCAATATAAAGTTTGTGTGGGTTGAAATAAAATAATAAATAAACATACTAAAAATCTGGTTTCTGTATACTTTTTTAGATCCATTTGAAAACTATACTTGCCTATTACCTATTACTATTACCTGCCAAACTACTGACCAATCATTGGATGTCTCTCCATGTGTCCACTCTGGTTTTAAAACAGCTTCTAAGAAACAGAGGAGAGTTTATCACTAGCTATTAGAGCTTCATATGAACTGAACACAGATTATTTCATCAACAGGATTCCTGACAGTGATGAGGCTTTTACTCTCTTCTTAATAATAAATATAAATAAAAACTAAACCAACAATCATCCACACACTGTTAATTATTTCCATGATTATTAATGAACATTTCAGTCGGTCTGACTCATCAGACATCAACTAGTCCTCTCCTCTTTGATTTCTCTCCTCTCTGCAGCAGAAACAGTTCATTTTATCTGCATCACATGTTCATCAACAGTTTGTTCATCATCAGACTGAAGAAGAAACTTGATGATAATTCATGATCTTTTTTACAGTTTATCATTAGTCTGACTTTAATCATTGATATTATCTCTATTTCTTTTTGATTCTAGTTTGTTCTCATTTCACCCTTGATGACGTCACTATAACTGAATTTACATGCAGGTATCAGTGTTTCCTCTCATATCATTAGTTCTTTATTCATAGTCCTAATGATGTTTATAATTAACAACTAATTAACAACAATTAACATTGCTCATAGCTGGACCGGTGAACCCAGAGTTAAGTGAACCTGGTGATAACCAGCTTCAAAGTACATGTTACCAGGATGGACGATGTTCGGCTCAGTGCAGCCACATAATAAAAACATAACCTGGATTTGTTAAACTTGCTTCGTCGTACAGGCCTCTGGAGATTAAAGGACGGTTTAGCAGCCACCATCCTTTAAGCAATAAAGCTCCTGAGGAGTTCTTATTATAGTGACCAGTGAAACAGATGGTGAAGCTGTTAATTAAATAGTTGGACATTTCCTATCAATAGCGCTGCTCTGCCATCTCTTATCCCATATCAAGTTGATTAAACTGGGACTCAGTTGTCCAGTTTTTGTTTCTTCAAGTCTCCCATCATGTAAGATTTTCCTATAACAGGTAATAATTTAGTGCCTCTGTATCTGTACAGTTCTTACTTGCCCTAAAAACTAAACAGTTTTATTGCCTTTTCAGAAACCCTTCACCAGATGATTATGGTTTGTGCATATCATGAGTGTCGACCTTTTACTGAGACATTGTGTTCACAAGGCCATAACTGTGTTTTGTGAGGTCACCCTGACTTTGACCTTTGACCTTTAACTACCAAAATCTAATCAGGTCATCCTTGAGGCCAAATGTATGTGTGCTAAATTTCAAAAGAATTTTGCACTTGTCATTTGTATTTTTGTCTTCTACATTTCAGGTTTGTGTATTATCCTTGTCCTTGTTGCAGTTGTATTGCGTCTCGCCTTCACAGACTGATGTATGTTCTCTTAGTAAACCTGGCTCTGAGCAGAGTGATAGGTAGTTCATCTGTGTGTCCGAACATTATCAAACATCTCTTAGTGAACAGACAGGGAACATCTCTAGAAGGATGTTTAACACAAGTGTTTTTCACCAACATGTACGGCGGTGGTATATTTTGTATCCTAGCACTGATAGCCTACGACCGTTATGTGTCTATCTGTAAACCTCTGCTGTACCACTCCGTCATGACGCCAGCTAAAGTCAAACTGATGCTGATGATGGTTTGTTTCATCCTCAGCTCCTCCTCAGCTGTCCAGGTTAATTTGACATCCAGACTCAGGCTGATAAGCTGATAAGCCAGTTGATAAGCTTTTACGTGACAGCTTGATGATTGCAAAACTATCATGTAAAAAGACGACTCTGATCAGTGTGTATGGTTTGTGCTGCAATATATGTGTCCTGGTTTTCCTTTGTTTTCTTGTCATTCTGTCACATGTTCACATTTTCATGGTGATCCTCTCAGGCTCAGAGTCTCAGAGGAAAGCGATGCAGACATGCATGCCTCACTTAGTGACTTTTATTCATTTTTTCCGTGGCATCTTTTTTTGTGTCATTTATAATCGTCTGAGTTATGAAGTTAACAGTTAATATTTTCACTTGTATGAATTTTTTGGTCATCCTTCCTCTGCTCTATCCCATAATTTATGATATTAAAATGCAAGAGATTCGGCAACGTGTAAATAAGATGATGAAAGATAAAATGGTACAATTATGAATTTACACAAACATATTTCATATCAGGTGGATGTGGAATTTTTTCAAATTTCATAGTTCTTACTTTGACTGTCAATAAAATAGACTGACTGATGATTATTATGCTGAATGCTGAATGTTTCCTAACCCACTGAATGTTTGATACTTAGTAATACTGCATCAGGACACAGCATCAGGTAACTATGGGGACATGAATAATGTCACTCAGGATGCAAACGAGACAAATTGGTCAATTGAAAGGGAAACTGTTGAGTTTCTTTAACAGAGATAATCAGAACATGTTACAAGTGTTACAGAAGAAGAAAAATAGAATAAAATAAATCCCAAAAGACAAATGAAATTGAAACATTGAAAGGCTTCGATGTTCAAAAAGTGAAAAACACTAACTACTCTGCTGCACCTTTTTCCTACGCCAGCTTCATCTTCTAAATGTCAACACTAAGTGCTTTTTTGGGTTCAACTGAAAAACAAATGAAAGGATATTATAGCCTTCACAGCTATAATGGCAAATAAATGTAATAAAATTGCAAATCACCAGGTGAACTGTGTGAAGTGTCATTCACAGAGTTTACACTCTGACCTGCTGAACAATAGGCCTGGGTTGAAAAAATCAATGAATTATTCAATTCATTTGAATAATTCAATATCAATTCTTAATCCCGAGATCGATCTTTTAATAATCGTCTTGAAATGTATACACATTTTTAAGCACTTGAAGATATAGAGAGCTAATAAAAACAAATCAAATGGTCAAGGTTGTCATATTGACATTTAAGGTATATTGGTTGATTTCCAAACGTCAATCACGCATTGAGTAACACGCAAGAAAACATTCCATCGCTCCGTTACGTAAACACGTGAGAGACAACAACATGACAGATGATGTCCCAATGAAGTCAGCGGAAAGTCTAAAGACAGATGTGCAGCTGCATTTCAGATTTAAAAACTATGAAGGCAGTGAAGAGCTGGACAACAGCAAAGATGTGAAGAAGCTGTGTGTATCTGTTCATACACATAGTAGCCGATGCACTGGGTCCGTTAACAACGCACATTAATCTCTTATTTCATGAGGTGTGTCTAAAATGTTGGTCATGTTAAATAGAAAGTGCATTCATGTAACTGCTTTGTGTCCATCCATAATGTCAACATTGTTTTTAATAATGCACCTGGTTAGAGGAACGCTTTACTTAGTTCTCTGAGAATCTCATTCATATCCAAAAAAAATCCCTGACTGAATCAAAATCAAATCGATTCAGGAAATCAGTGGCAATACCCAGCCCTACTGAACAATGTGATGAAGTTCCCATCAAACCCTAACCCTAACCCTTTTCACTAACTTCCCAAATGTAGCTGTCCTTCTATGAATCTGTGCACCAGTTTGGTTATCCTGTTCAAAATTTTTTAAACCCACCCCTGCTACCCACGCCCAAGGATCCTTGAAACCTGAGGGAAACTGAAATGAACTGAAACCAAAGACTGCCTGAACATAGGACGGGAGCTGATGTAGTTAAAAACATATGGTCAATTAAACTACTGAACTTCCTGTGAGTGACACGAGGTCAAGTCTGACTTTATGTGAGGTGGACACAGTATGCAAAAACACACTCCTCGAGGAGAAACAGGAGCTTAAGCAAAGGCCTGAAGCTGCTCTGTTTTCAGCACTTACCATGGTGACAGCTGAGTGTCCTCCCATGATTCCCTGCTGCTGCTAATTTGTCTGTTAGTGAAGTTGCTTACTGCCTCCAGAGCGGTGTGTCCACACAGACTCCGGGCTCTGGGGTCCGGCCTTGTGTTGTTACAGATGGAAATAGTTGCTGTTGATGAAGCTGATGAAGAGAGGAGCTCCACTGGGGCTCATTACTGTCAAATGATGCAGTAACAATGATGTAATCACACATCAGTCTCCACTGACCCTCTCTGTCCACCAAACATCACACTGTGCCTCATTATGTGAAAATAAAACGTGTTTAAATGTAGA